CAGGTATTAAAACTATTTGCTTCAGAAAGATTAAGAATTCTAGACTATCAATAAAGGAAACTCAGAGGATGTTACAAGTCAGCGGTGATAATTTCCTAGTCATTTTGAGGTTCAGTATGTTTATCATCAGAACTATTTTTTTCTTCAGAAAACTCTGAATGAAGTCTCTACAGTTTTGTCTCTGAGGACTGCTAAAACTTTTAGACAATCAGTTTTTTTGTAGTAATTACCATTCTATCCTTCTTATGAAGAAGGAAAATCTCTGTGTTCTTTACGTACTTTTAAGTTCTTCCAAAAAGAAGAAAGATATTGGGGCAAGACTTGGAAACCCATATAAAACACAGAGTAATGAACTCAAACACCATACCTCTAGGGAGACTTAAGCAGTTCAACGAAAATTTTTTTGATCCTGGACGAATTCTCACTTTCTCAGGTACTTAAAGTACACCAAATTCCAATTTATTTGCGCACAAAATACGCTAACGGTTTTATCCATAAAAGGAGTCATGCTATAACTTACACTTGGTTACAACATTTCTTTAAGGCAAGAATAAAGCCGGCCATTAGGCAAAGAAGAAGCGTCTACTATGAGTTTTGCCGGAATTTCAAAGCTTTTCAGAAAGGGTGTGACGAACTCGTCGGACTGCATTGTGTCATTTCTGCAAGCCTTTTGCACTCTTTTCGCAAAGCTTTCCAAAAATGAGGCTTAGCAAGTGCAAAGTGCGTTGGCTACATTGATGCTATAAAAGGAAGCCAAATCACGGAATTTGTGTGGTCGCCATCATGGACACCATTGACCAAAAGATAAGAGCTTACAGGTTCGTAGCATATTCGGCGGTCGGGTTCTCCGTGCTCTCTATTCTTTCTGTGTGTGTAACTCTCCCAGTTGTGTATAATTACGTTCACTATGTGAAACAATCGCTTCATAAGGAGGCGAAATACTGCAAGGTAAGCGGGCAACCTATTTTGTACAATAATATCTACACTAGGTCATACTTGCAGACTTCCACGTTTTCTGTCTGGGGAGATGTGCAAAATTTCAAGCAGCAACACTTCGTAAATAGAACTACCCGTCAAGCAGAAAAATCGGCCGATCGCTACGCAGGAGGAGCATGTACATCTTGCTGCCGTCCAGGACCTCCAGGACCACCAGGCCCTCCGGGAAGACCGGGAGTGCCGGGCAGACCGGGAGCGCCAGGTCTTCCGGGCGCCCCTGGCTTCCCAAGTTCCCAGCCATGCGATC